ATTTAATAACCAATGATGGATGCCTTCTTTGGACACAGCTGTTTTTCTACGCTTCATTTTACTACTACCACCACGGGAAGAATCCTGACACCAACTGATACTATCGCTACCACAGATTATTATTTATAGTACTATTCTATTCTTTTACTTTATCTTTAATTCTTCTTTTTTTTTCTCTATCTTTCATGTTATTCTTCGTCTCCGTTTTTTTTTTTTTTTTTTTTTTTTCTACCTCGTGCTTCTACAATAGTAACTATAGCATCACCAGCAACAATAACAGCAACAACTACTTGTATAATCCATTTGTTTTTCCTCACCTGAAAATTCGAGTCGTGATCTTAAACAATCTTGTTACATAGAGACTTTCATATGGATGTCAGCCATACAGCCAAATCTATTCAGAAATATCTAAACTGTCAGCTGCTCACAATAGATTTCTGAAATCAATGGTTAAAAAAAAACTTTGAGCGAATGAAGTCTTTGGATCATTCTTCTTTGAACATAGTAGACTGGCGCTACACAATCACAAATAACTTTATCAAATAACAGGAACCAACATTATTGAGGATTGCACATGTAACTGGAATAGAAAATAATGACATATTGAAAACGTTGATCTTCCGTACTACATCAAACAAAAGACTAGAAAGGAAAGAGCAATCAATATTAGAAAGAGCGACAGCAGCTACTGAAAAATTATTTTAAGACAAAGATTTTATAAATTTCAACCGACAGAGACACTGGCAGCTCGATCAACTGAATGCCAAAAGTTACCCTGTAGGGAAACGATTAATATTATCATTACCATGAGTAGCAGAATTGATTTTTGAATCATTTCACCCCAAGCAAGGTTATGATATTGTCCCTAAGTCGTTAAGGGTTGCTGGAAATTAACGAGATGATGTTAGTGAGTAAAAAAATAATAAAATAACATGGCTCAGGAAGACAGAAAATAGCAATTGATATTGCGTTTTAATTTTTGAGGATCGTAGGCGACATGTAAACAAGAAACCGAAAGAGAGTTCCACAGACGAGAAGTGCGAGAAAAGAAACTATCAGAATTGAACTTACGGTTACATCTAGCTAAGTCAACTGTAAAACGATGAGATCTAGTTCCCATTCCCGCTTATATCCATGCGGTCAAGGTACCAAGCAGTAACACTAATTAGAACAGTTGCCATAAAAATCCTATTATTGATCGGTTCGATAAGATCAAATTGGCAGCTCATCCCAAAAGTGACCTAAATTCTGCTGTAAACAGCGGCAAGGAATGGCTTATTAATTTTCACACTTCCAAAACAAATCTGCTTTTTATCAATCACTAGCAGCATGGCCCGGCGTTGCCCGTGCTTGATTCAAAAATCGTACGACTCATACAGCAATCGCTATCAGTTGACTTAAAATATTTTTGCCCTTCCTTGCCTTTAAAGGAATGCCCTTTGCCGTGCTGATGTTGCTACATGTCTTACTTCTTGCCTATATCACACTGCGAATTTTTTGTAAGCTCTATACTAAACATTAAATCTGTTACGAAAAAAAAAGAACTAAACAAAATGAACACCAAACGATCAGCTTTAAAAAAGGACTCGTAACTGGAAAAACCGAATGAAAAAAGAATGTTAACAACGAATAATTTTTCACACCCAACCCAGTTCTGCGGAATCAGAATCAATGTTGAGCTTAAGTAAGCGAATGACCCAATTGGAGTAAAGTGCCATGCAGATTTAAATTTTTCCCACTTGTGACGAATGCAGCTATCGATTTTTTTTGCATGCTAGTTAACATTCGTGTCAGTCAGCTGTTAGCTCTCACGCTGGCAAATAGAATCTTCCTGCCTATTCGTGGCAGCCAGCTATAGGCTCTCAATCTGGCCAGTAGAAAATGGCCGCAAACTATATGAAAACTGCCGTAGAAGCATGAAAAAATCGATTATTTCCACTATCGATGGGAGTTGGGAATTGCAAAGTCGGTCTTGGCCTTTCTCGCTAACTTGGGGCATGTGCATGTATATTTTGGTGCAAATCCGTCGAAAATTGCGGCTGTGCATTCGTTACACACACACACAAACACACACACACATTTTATAGATAGAGATTTGAGAGACTCTATTCTGCATTCAATCAGCATAGCTGATGCTGAGTTTCCGGGTGAATGACTTGTTGTCTCTTCGCCAACTAACGTTTTCTGCTGACATGAAGGGGAAAGATTGCATCGAAACAATTGCCAGGTCTGCTGCTAGGACAATTGTTTCATTGAATCGTGTTGGACAGTTTTTCTCGACAGAATCTGTTTAAATATTCATGAATCTGTCTTTAGGCCATGCTTCGTGCATTGCAACCACGACTAATCTGGTGCACCTGCTATATAAGGTGAGATTCTTGATAAGATCCGACAAAGAATCTAAAATGTTATTGGTACTCTTCTAACATTTCGACTTCAGTTACATTCCCATCGTCATGGCATAGCTCCCCTGTGTCTTTTTTTTATAAGTGTCTTCATGGTAGTTGTTATGATGACCTGTTGATAGTTTAACGTTGGGCGCCTGCAAAGAGTAGTATTTAAATATGAATACATTCCATAAACCATTGTGAATTCGTTTAGGGTACTCCATGCCCTACCACAGATACACAACAAAACGAAACTGCTCTCTTTTCATCGTCTTAGAGAAACCTTTTTGCCTTTCATCAACATCGCTGCTGCTAACCTCCAGAAGAGTGAACCATTGCGTCTTCTCTGACTAACGTTTAGATCTAGCTGTTTCAGCAGGAAAACGATGAGACAAAGTTACCATTCTAGTATTACGCTTATACCCATGAGGTCAAGGTACCAAGAAGTAACACTAATTAGAACAGTTGGCATAAAAATCCTATTATATATCAGTTCGATAAGATCAAATTGGCAGCTCATCCCAAAAGTGACCTAAATTCTGCTGTAAACAGCAGCAAGAGATAGATTATTTTTAACGCTTCCAAAACAAAACTGCTTTCTATTAATCATCTAAGAGACTACTTTCTGCTTTCATCAGCATAGCTAATGCCATTTTCCGGGAGAATGATTTGTCCCTTAGTCTAGAAACGTTCTCTGTTGACATGAAGGAGAAAGATTATATCGAAACAATTACTAGATCTGCAGCTAAGTCAATTGATTCACTGAATTGTGCTAGGCAGTTTTTTCTCTCCAGAGTCTATCTTACATATTTATAAATCTAGCATTCGCCCATGCTTTGAATATTGCTACCACATCTTGACGGGTTCTCCTGCTATATATTTCAAGATTCTTTATAAAATCCGAAGAAGTATCTACAATGTTAATGGTCTTGACTTGGCACCTCGGCTTCAGTTACTCTCCTTAATGTATCTTCAATGTAACTATCTATAAATCCTTTCATGGTAATTATTCAAATGAACTTTGCTCTATGGTACCTAGACTTTATGAATTTAACCCCAGTACTAGATTGGTAATAAGGTTTAAACATTTTACAATTGAAATAGCTAGATGTAACCGTAAGTTCTTTGGTAACAGTTTCTTTTGTCGCCCTTCTCGCTTATGGAACTCTCTTCTGGCTTCTGGCTTTGATCTTCAAAAATTTTAATTAAATAACAATCGTTATCTCTCCTCTTGATTCCTCTTCTTTTACTGTTTTCGCTTCTTGATAACGTTTTCATTTTTCTTGCTCAGTGACCAGCTGTGTCATTATTGCCTTAGTTGGGATAAAATCATATCAAAAAATGTTTGAACGAGTGATTTGTCGTGTTGTACTGGTTAGAAATGAGCCCGGGACTCTTTGAGTGACCTATGCATTTGACCTTGTGTCAAAACTAAGCTCTCGTGCTTTATTTTATCGAGTAGGAAATAAAGATGACGAGGATATTTCGGATAGATAATGATGATATTCAGTCATCCCCCCCACGAGGGTGTCATGTGGCACAAGGCCTTTTTAACGTGGGCAATTCCCAAGCCATTAGGCTGGGCCAAAAAAATAGCCCATTTGAACACGTATAAACGGGTTCAGGGCCGGTTTTACCTCCCCGAAGGAGACTCCGCCCTTCGGCGTAGCCTCCTTCGGCTTCCTCCCGCCCGTAGGAAGAGAGTTTAACAGAACAGTCGGTTCAGAGGTGAACGACTGATAGATAATGATTGACCCTAGACTTGAAGAGGTTAGTTTGTAGCATACGAGGAAGCATTCGTGTGAGCATTTGTTCCACCAAGTAGCGGTTTCGGGAAAAAAAATCTTTCGGAATGGGACGTTCTTCTTAACAAAGAAAATAAAATACTTAGATGATGAAGGTGATTTAACCCGGTGGTCGTAGCAAGGCAGATCTTGGCTGTAAAGGCCTGGTGGTTCTAAAGTAAGGAGCTCGTCTGAATATTTGCCATAAAAGTAGCGATAGACTTGCGACGTTGTGTTTTTGAGCTGCTGAAGTATAGAAAATAAGTCAACTCCACAAACCCGCGTAAACAATTTTGAATTTTGTCAAAACTGGAAAATGCAGATTGAGTTCTTGTGAGTTCAGTGATGAAGTTTCTAAAGAGAAAAAACTCTTGATCCAAAACAGGTCTTAAATGCTCAATGAGATTAAGATGTAGTGGGTGTGGGTTCGCTGACCAGGGCAAAAGGGAGAAACCATCTTCACGTTCCGGAAACGAATTCCTTAGAAACCAGTCAATGTGAAGGGATGCATTGTCCTGAAATTTCCAGCCTGCATTCTAGAAGACTTTGATTTGATTTAATTTTTTTTACGGTCTAATCAGCCCTTTGTAGGTTATTTAAAGCCAGAACATTTTTAGATTGTACTTTTTTTTTTTAGATAACAATGACTTTTTTAGTTATACAAATCTTACTATTTAACTCATATCTAGGAGGAGAAGAGGTAGATTCATGCCTTTCCCAACGGTATCAGGGCGTAAGTGAATATAACAAATCCTACAAGGATTGGAAATCAGCTTCCCGATTAACAATTCCGAAACATTATCGCTTATATCATTCGCACACTCAAGCTTATAGCACCTAGTATTACCAAGTGGTCACTCATCTAGGTACTGACCAGTATCAACATTGCTTAACTTCGGTGATCGTACAGGGACCCGTGTTTCAAACTAATATAGCTGTAAGCCTTCGTAGAATAGTGTGGCCATTAACGGTTGATGTCCCTACCTAAGAATTATTCAAAGCGCTGCTTAGATGTGGCACAAGGCCAAAAGTTCGGAGCACCCAGTGAGGATCGAACTCCCTATCCAGTCGTAATTGATCTAACGAGACAAGCATGCTAACCATTACACAACGTTAAAGTGCTCAAAACGGGTAAACGATTTGTGTGGATTTATTTTATATTCGGAAAATACTTACCTACATCAATAGATTTTATTGAAATATTAGTGGACATACACAAATCTTATATTTGCCAATACCAGAGAAATTTACAAAAAGTCGAAACCCATCACGTCATGTGAAAAGTTCCATAAAACATTAGGGTCATAAGAGCGGCACATGTACATAACAACAATGGTGTGTCGTGGGCAAAATAGCCTCGCAAAGTCCATGCCGAGTTTGAAAATTGACTCAAAATTGATATTAGGTCGCGGATAAAATCAACGATTTTATTTTGATTAATTTTGGATCAACATCTACCACCTTTGGGAATTTGAGTAAGGCTAAATTTTACTTTTGTGTCTCCGATCTTATTTCAGTAGAACTTAGCGGCACACATCGCTGGCACATTTTAAATTACAAATCATTCATATATATATATATATATATATATATATATATATATATATATATATATATATAAAAATGTAGTTTTAAGATGTGCTATATTTATGGAATAAAGTGCTCAATATCAGAGAGAGAGTGTATGTAAATATAAATATAAAAGTGAACGTTGAAGTCAAAACTCAGAGGCGACAGGCTGATTCATGCTAGACGTAATCGGCGGCCTGACGATTGCGTCCAGCATGAAACAGCCTGTCGCCTCTGAGTGTTGACTTCAATGTTCACTTTTTGTATACACAGACACACACACACACACACACACACACACACACACACACACACACACACACACACACATATATATATATATATATATATTTATTAAAGACATTTTTTTTATGTTTAACGTTCTTTTTTATAGATACAAGTATTTAAGTAAATGCTCTGTTTATAATAAACAGTATTAAATAACATTTACCGGCCTGAATGTCCGAGAAATTTTCATAGAAAATATTCGTCCTTTGACAGGATTCGAACCTGCATCCTATAAGCAGTAAATTCGACCTTGTCTCCTTTGTGGCCGGTCGGTAAGGCACGTCAGCGTAAATGACGGTTCCGTGTTCTATAAAAAGAACGTTAAACATAAAAAAAATGTCTTTAATAAATAAATTGTCGGACTTTGTCCATTTATATATATATATATATATATATATATATATATATATATATATATATATATATATATATATATATATATATATATACTAACAATTGCGATTACAACATTAACGGTAATATTTAATTGGCATAACAATTTTAAAAGCATATATTAATAATTTTCATCTTTGACATTTTTTTTATTCAAATGCTAAAAATTATAACATTTTTTATATAAGCAATGTCCCTATTGTTATTTTTGTTTTAATTCATCGTGTTTGAATCAGTCAATTAATACGTGAATCGAAAGAAAGATGGTCGTTTGGGCGACCATGTCTCTTTCGGTTCATGACTAGCTAGGCAAAAGATTTTCCAATAGAAGTTGCCGGTTCTTTCAGCAGTAGTTGCCAACCAGGGTTATAGGATCCAGTATGTCCTGCTATTTAACCCATATCTGGGAGAAGAAGAGATCGATTCATACCTTCCAAAGGGTATTTTCACGTAAGTTAATATAACGAATCCGACTGGAGTTTCAACCCAGCTCTTCGATTTCTCATCTCCAGGTGACATCCATTACACCACAAATTCATTCCGAAGAAAAAATAGAAAAATATCGGTGTAATTATATTTAAAAAAAAAGAAGTGTAATCTCAGCATCTAAAAATAAGTTTTCTTTTAAAAGAAGCGGACTTAAAGTAAATATTTTAATAATTTTAATTCCACCCGTGGCAGTTATGCTCTTATTAACCATTGTTGTCGTCTGCCATTTCACATTACCAGAAATTTGTCGAGCGGAGCCGAAAATCTTTTTACAGAATTATCTAAATAAATCAAAATAATCTGTCCAGTTAGATTTTCTTAAAATAGTCCTGAATTTTTTAAACATGTGAAAATATTAAGTTTGATTTGTGATTATTATTAATACTAACTGTTGTGTCGGAAACCTACCACCCCTCTTGAAGATGAACTTGTCTGCGTCTGTGAACAGAGACTTTAAATAATGAGAAGAGAGATAGACAGAGATGTTCCTATCTGAGTTAGTTATTGACTACTCAGGCGATTTCTGTACCTTTTTACCAACCTATTAAAACCCTTTTTATTGTTACGTGTTATTTGGCGTTTGTATCTACTAACCCCAAATCAACATCATAACACTAACATTAATTAATTTGAATCGGAAATTTTACAGAATTATTTAAAGATACCGAATATTAATGTCATTTTAATTGGGTTTAACTAAGATAAAAAGATTTAAATAGAGTAAATAACTTTTACTGAAAAGAGAAAAAAATATTCCAATAAGTGAAGCCAATGAGATGTTGAAATAATTTTTATTATTATAGTTAATTAAAAATACTATTATTTCAATATAGTCTCGTTGTTGAATAAATGTTTTAAGTATTTGGAGGACAAGAGCCTGGCAGTTTCTTTTACTTCTGATGTAACTCTAACAGGCCCATCGAAGAAAATGTCATATCACATTCGATACCCCCCAAATTAACTAATAATGACTCTACATTACCGAACACAGCAGGTTTTCGCCTATTGCGATGGGCTGATGTTCTTTGAAGGAGGGCCTCTAGTCCTGCACGCCTATTGTTACTTAAGCTAACCCCAGACCACTAATGGAACTCATATATACGATCAATCGGTAAAAATGCTGGAAAACCGGTCGGTTGCCTTGTACCGGTCCAGTCAGTACCTGACTTTTGTTATGTTCTACTCTTTGCACGAGTCACATCAGACCGAAAATGGTTTATGGCTGTCCAGTCTTCACTTTCTAGTTTTCATAGAATTCTAAAGCGTCAACGCGGCCTTCAGTGTGATGAGTTATTTTCTACCGGCAAACCACTTTCTCACAGACGAAACAGCAAACCTCTTGCTACTCTACCGCTATTTTTACGGAAAATGTTCTGACAGCCAGATCGCTTAGTTGCACCAATTCTAACCTTCACAGCTAAGATTCATCATGCCACGTACACAGAGTCGAGCCATCCTCATTCCTTTCATATTTCATTACTAAGAAAGAATCTCCACACGAACGGCTACTTTGTGGAGCCGACTGCTAAAACGTTCGCTTAGTTGCACCAATTCTAACCTTCACAGCTAAGATTCATCATGCTACGTACATAGAGTCGAGCCATCCTCATTCCCTTCATATTTCATTACTAAGAAAGAATCTCCACACGAACGTCTTCTTTGTGGAGCCGACTGCTAAAACGTTCGCTTAGTTGCACCAATTCTAACCTTCACAGCTAAGATTCATCATGCCACGTACACAGAGTCGAGCCATCCTCATTCCCTTCATATTTCATTACTAAGAAAGAATCTCCCCACGAACGGCTACTTTGTGGAGCCGACTGCTAAAACGTTGCTTTGCCGATCGATACAATCTTAACCTCCTCAAGCCTAGGGTTAACTGTTATCTTTCTCACATATCTTCATAAACTACGCTTCTTACCTCTTACTCTTTTCGCCCATACCATAACCGCTTTCAATAATCCTCTACTTGAGTGGCTCTTGGGAGTTATATAAAGTGAACATTAGTAAAAAGAAAATTAACAAAAGAGAGCTTCTATTACAAATTTTCTCCCTCCTCCGGCTAGTAATTGGGTCAAAAGTTATCTTTCTTTGACCTGTCAATAAATAACTGACCTATTTTAGTTGGCATCAGGCCTCTTTATTAGAATGATTTATTCAAAGATCCCATTCCAATCGCCTCACCAGTCGTTATTTTTATTGATCTACCTCAGCTGCAGAATTTTATACGTTGTACATTTTACAAGTTATATATATATATATATATATATATATATATATATATAGATAGATAGAGAGAGAGAGAGAGAGAGAGAGAGAGAGAGAGAGAGAGAGAGAGAGAATGAGATAGATTCAAATATCCTCCTCCTCTATCTTTAGACTCGTATACTCCACTGAGTATGGGACCTTACTTTCTTTTTGTGCCATGTCCTTTCAGGACGTAGGCGATCATGGCTCGCCACCTTCCTCTATCCCTTGCAGCTCTCAACAAGTTCCTTCCCTCTGCTTCCTCCCCAAGACCACGTTCTGTCATCCACTTGCTTAATTCCACCAGGTATGTCATGCGTTGTTTTCTCTTGTCTCTCTTTCCCTCTATTCGACCCGTGAGTATCAGATTCTCCAGGCCCTCCTTCCCCATTGTGGGTCTCAGAAACTTCAGCTGCCTCATCCTGACATTAAGTATAAGCCCCCTCCTACTCCTAGTTTGCAACCTCATTTAGATTTCATCGTTGCTCACACACTCGGTACATGCATAGCTATCAAGAATACAAGGCATTCTTCAAGGCTAGTGCTAATTGTTATCTTTCCCCATATCCTCATAAACTACGTTTCTTACATCTTATACAGCTCGTACCGTAACAGATTTCAATACATCTATACCTTGAGTGACTCTTGGGCTTTGTATAAGATGAACGAAAATTAACGAAAACATTAAGAGAGCTTCTATTACAAGTTTTCTCCCTACGTAGGACGGGTAATCGGCTAGTAATCAAAATAGGTTTTTATTCATACGAAAGCAACTGAGGCGATCGAAAAAGTTAATAATCCGTTGGACAAGATCATCGTTATCTTTAACACAAATCTTCATAAAATTCCCCACTTACTGCTTACTCTTGCCGCTTGTAGTACAACCTCCTTCACTAAGTCTCTCCCTTGAATGGCTTTTGGGCCTTGTATAGAGTGAACATTTGTTCTTCCT